CTTGCTTAATGGATATAGAGTTTTAGATTTGCAAGATGAAAAAGTTCTGGTGATCTCTTTCACAGCAATGTGAATATATTTAACACTATTGAGCTGTCCACTTGAAAATTGCTAAGATGGTACATTTTATGCTATGTGTTTTTTCAAAAAGCAAAGATAAATTCACAGATGGAGGAATAGATAAATGGTCAGATAGGTAAGGAAGCAAGCATAATGAAATATTAGTGGTAGAATCTAGGCAGTAAGTATAGGGGTGTTTATTGTAAAACCCTTTCAACTTCTTTTGTGTTTGAATATTTTCACAATAAAATGTTGACAAAGAATAAAAACTCAATGTAGTAATTAATACTTATACATGTGTACCCCACATATGATAGCTACACTATATATGTAGCTAATATTTGTAATTATAACTCATTTTTATTAAAAAAAGAGTTAAACCTCTCTGAAAGAGTAAAATATTGTAAAAATAAAAGGACTCTTCTTGCTCAACATTTTTTCATCAGCTAAGACATATACATTGGCTTTTAGAAAATCATTTGGGTTAAAAGGGCTCTTCAGTGAATAGCAACTAACCTCTGCTCAGCCCTCTTCGACCCCAGTTCTGCTCCCTGAGCTAACTGCATTTCATCACTTCTGATTGTTTCTGGAGGTTATTTCTCTATCTTTCCCCAACATGCTTATACCACTGCTTCTTATTTCACCAACTTTAGGTATTGTCTTTGACTTCCTGTCCTGAGAGATGCGACTTTGGCCCCGAGACACCATCCCCCACCTCCCCACAGCTCATCAGCCACTTCACCCTCCTCCCCATTGCCTTCTCTCCTCTCCTTTCTTCCTGCTAAATGCACTACCCTGAGTTCCAGTTATCTCTGCAACTTCAAATGCATACCCAGACTCCTGTTTTTTGTGCCATCAATTATCCATATCAACTCTTGATTCTCTGTTTGTAAGGTAGAGATTTTGATATTTCCATCCTCTTCCATACTTCCTCTCCCACTTGCCTTCCCCCGACAGACTCTTCACTATGCCTTTACTTTTATATTCTTTTATATTGTTACATCCATTTGAATATGCCAAAGCAAAACACCAAAAACCCTACAACTCCATGTGGAAAAATCTTGTTCCTACATGATGAACAAGCACACTGCTAAGAATATAGTAAGCCTCTCATGAACACCTGGACAGTTGGGTATTAGCCACATTTGCCAACACTAAGCTCAAAAAACAGGTGCCTCACTACTTTTATCCTGGGGAGGCAGATAGCCAGGCCATCCAGATCCCTAGTAGGAAAAAAGACAGGAGGCATTTCACAAACTTCTATGTTATTAAAAAAAGAAAAGAAAAAAAAAAAGGTACCACATCTGCTCTGCATGCTTTCAGGGGCTGAAAGGCCTATGCAATTGCATTAGGGTTTTAAAAATGAGATTAAAGGAATTAATGTAGGATAGAACCATAATGGATTATTAGAGGGAAGGTAGGCACATTTAGGGGGTGTTCTTGGCCTTTCCGTTTGGCTGACCTATCCCAAAACTGTTCCTTTGGGTCTCTATCAGAGACAAAGCAGTAACCTGGATGGACCATAGGCACGAGTCCTGTAGCCTGTTCCTCCTCAGGCTGTAGCCTTTTTCATCCTGCCGTGTATCTGAGTTATGCACGTGCTTGACGCCTTCACTAAATCATATGTAACTAGAATCCGGGGACACAAGGGTTTCAACCATCTTTGTTTTCTCCTCCCTTTACTGTCACTGTGCTAGAGCCCAAGTCTCCTGAAACGCACCCTGGAGACTTGCTCAAAGGTGTCAAACACAACATACTGATCAGGTAGCTATTTTCTCTGAAGCTGGTAGTTCATGACATGTTCTGACAAGTGCCGAGCTCTCTCAGTGCCCTGCTTCCCTCAGGACATTGCAAATGGCTTTCTCCTGGGACAGTGTGTCATGCTTTTGGAGTGTGACAGCCTCAGATTGCTCTCTGACATAGTTAATAAAATAGAGAACACCTCCTATTTTCTTTTTTTTTTTTTTTTTTTTTTTGACCAAGGGAGAAAGCACAAATTCAGAGCAATTCCATGCCTTACTCTAGTCGTGTGATAGTTTGCTGCCATTTCTTAATTGAGCTTGCATCAACTTCTGCTAATTCCAAGACTGGAATCCTGTCCTCTACTTGACTATGATCGGCAGAATAATGGCACCGGAATGATGCCCACCTCCTAATGTCTGGAACCTGTGAATATGTTACCTCATATGGCAAAAGGGAATTTGCAAATATGATTAATTTTAAGGACTGTGAGATGGGGAGATTATCCTTGATTATTCAGTGGGCCCAATCTAATCCTATGAATCCTTCAAAAGAGATGAACTTTCCCAGCTGTGGAGAGAGGAAGACATGACTGTGGGTCAGATGGATGCAACTTGAGAAGGACTTTACCTGCCACTGATGGCTTTGAAGATGGAGGAAGGGACCACGAGCCAAGGAATGTGAGGGGCTTCCAGAAGCTGAAAAAGACAAGGAAACAATTTCCAATTTCTTCCCTAGAAACGCCATAGGGAAACACAGTCCTGCCAACACCTTGATTTTAGCCCAGTGGGACCTATTTTAGTCTTCTGACCTATAGAACTGTAAGATAATAAATGTGTGTTGTTTTAAACCACTAAGCTTGTTGTAATTTGTTACAGAAGCAAGAGACAACTAATGTCCTGCCATAGTATCAACTGGTGTGTCTTCAAAGATATAAAAGCAACCAATTCCCCACAGCTAGTAGGCACTTGAGAATTGCTTGTGAATTGCATATGGGGAAATCCCTGCTACTTGGGACTCTTGCAAAATATATCATGGTGATACATGAGTTTTTCCACAGAGATGAGGGCTTGCCTGTTTAGGACCCAAACATTTTTTTATTTTAAACATTTTGTAAGATAAATATATGTATTTGAGACTCAGTCTCACTTTGTCATCCAGGCTGGAGTACAGTGGTGTGATGTAGCTCACTACAGCCTTAAACTCCTGGGCTCAAGCGGTCCTCTCGCCTCAGTCTTACAGGTGTGTGCCATCTCTCTCAGCTAATTTTTTATTTTTGTGTAGAGATGGAGATCTTGCTATGTTGCCCAGGCTGGTCTAGAACCCTTGGCCTCAAGTGATCTTCCCGCCTCAGCCTCCCAAAGCGCTGGGATTACAGGTGTGAACCATCACACCTGGCCAGATGAACATTTTTAACCCATAGGAAGATTAAATTCTGTCTAAATCATATATATGTATTATATAACTCCATATATCTCTATATGTTTCTCTCCATATATATTTCTTCATATATACAGAGAGATTATGTTCTTATTATTCCTTTCTGCTTAAACAGAATACATTAAACTTTAGCATTTTTGCGATTTGTGGGAGAACTTATCTTGGGCACTGATTATTATCCAATACTACATCATTGCCCTTGGCGATGACTGAATATCAAAAAACTACCACATACTGCAGACTCTCTGGAAAGGTCCCAATTTTAGATATTCTGTCCTACTTTCCTTATTCTTATCAGACTGCTTTTCCTGACAAAGGGCTCAGGTGCCATGGTCACTTTAGCTGAAAGTCTACTTGTCTTCCCAGTAAGTGTCTTCAAACTACCATCTAACAGGGAATCCTAAACCATTATGTTTACCTCGAATACATTAAAAAGAAATAAGAATAGTTGGTAACTTCCTGTTTGTTACTTTTCAACCCTAATCAATAATTTTCGGCACAAAATTTTTAGTTAGGCAATGGACTATGAGGATACTGACATGGCAAGATTAGGTCATTTGAGGCCTTGAGAAGTCAGTTGACCTTTGTGTCAAGCAGCTGATTTGTAGTAGCAGGGCCACGATGAAAACTCAGAATCCCTTAGTTTCTGTTCTTTGACCTGGTAGACCTACCAGCCTGCTTTCAACTTAAGTAGCAAACCCTGCATCTCTCCTAAGGAACCCTTTAAGCCAGACTGCAGACGTCAATCAGAAAAGCCAGTGTGATTACAATCTCCCTTCTCAAAATAATGCTTCCTTTCTAAACCCAGTCTCAGAAGCTCGAAACCAAAGTAGGCCTCCAAACTCTAACCACAACCGTCTTCAAAAGTTATGGGGAGTCCCATCTCTTAGCAGTCTAGCTGCAGCTGCTGAGGTCGCCACCTGCTCAAATGACTCAGACAGAAGGCTCCTTTACAGGGGGTGCCATGACTGGAACCAGTTTTATACAAGAGGACTCTTAGCCTATTGGCCCCGGCTTCAGACTTATTTAATTAGCTGAGACACTCCTGTGTTGCTAATCACTCTTAGTACAAAGAGGCGTCAACAAGCCTGTGGGTTAAAAGCAGGTCTCTTCTGAGTTTACTTAGCTTGGTCTAGAGAGAGGTGAGTGTGTGTGTGAGTGTGTGTGTGTGTGTGTGTGTGACTGTGTGAGCATAAGCTGTATGAGATTGTCTATGCGGGACTGTACGTGATTGTGGATGATCGTGTGTGTTCACACATGCATTGTGTGTGCGTGTGGGCATGCATGTGCGCATGCTTCTGCGTGAGGTTGTGTGTAGTTCTCTGAGTGTGAACTTGTGTGGGATTGTGTATGCATGTGCATACCTGCATTGTATGTGCTTGTGTGCAAGTAAATGTGTTCCTGCACACAGCTAAAGGAGAAACAGAAAGAAGGGCAGGATAGAAGGACAGAAGGAAAAGACAGCCAACAAGAAAAGGCAGAGAATAGACATGTAGAGGCCAGATACAGAAAGAAGGAGTGGGTGCAAGGAGCAGGGAGCCGGGAAACAAATGACAGGGCAAAGGTGGAGAGCAGAGGGCGGGGAAGCGAACGGAAAGCACAGGACGTAAGAAAAGGAAGGACTCAGCGGGGTGAGGCCTTAGCCATTTCAGGCCTTAAGAAATGCCTCGTTAGGGAAGCAGGTGGATTCCGAAGCTTCCAGGAGAGTGATGTAATCCCCTTGTCATTTTTCTGCCTCATCATCACAGAGTCTGCTGTCTTTGTGTCCTGGTGATTCTCATCACCTAGCCTGCGCCCTGGCCTCAACCCCCGTGGCCCTGGGAGATGGTGCCATCCAGTCATATCTGAAACCTCTTTGTCAGGCCTGTGGTTTTATTTTTTCTAATAACGTAGCAACATCAAACAAAGGAAGTCACGCTTGTCCTTTGCCTCAACAAGGTAAATAGTCCTTGCCCCAGCCCAGGTGCCTCCGTTGTAGAACATACACAGGTGGGGAAAGGGGCTTGCAGGGGCCTCGGGTTTACAGGGATGAAGAGGCAGGGCCTGAGTCTGAGAACAATAAAAATCAGGCCTGGCACTTGGTGCGGAGCAGTGACCAGGGACAGGACTTGACCTGGGGAAGGAACAGGGCTCCAATAGGTGCCTTCTGAAGCCTGCAGGCCAGGAGGCCAACTGCATAGGCTGGCGAGAAGGACCCAGGACCCACCCCCCGTGGCTTTCCCTTTTAGGTCTGAGTCTCTCCGTGTGCACAAGGAGGGTTGCCTTGGCTCAGTGCTTTCCAAAGTGCTGAGGGATTCCAGGGGCACCCACGGAGGTCCCCCGGGGCTTGCGGACAGGGGTGGGCGAGTGAGCAGGAGTTAGGTCTCCCCTCTGCACTGACCTGAGCTGCCTCATCTTTACATTTTACTTTTATTTAAAGACTGTAAGCCAAAGCCAGTGTGAAGCCTCCTGAACTAGCTGATCTCCACATCCATGCCAGCGCCTTATGACCCACCGTTCTACACTGGTGGGGGGGGCTGGTGTTAGCGCTACTGGGGCCCTGGGACAGAGTTGACAGTGAACTTTAGCAGAGGAGGAGGCACCTTTTTCGTGTGATTAGGGAATCTGGATTCTTTCGCTGGCCCCAGCACCGGATGTGTACCCCAAAGAGGCTAACTCCTTGGAACTGAAGCCCATGTGCCCACAGGATGCAGGAGTTTGAAAGGGGCACCCCACCCTAACGGGCACAGTCTCATCACACTGAATTTCTGGGTTGGGCAAACCGCTAGTTGACCCAGTATTCAGCCATCAAGAAACAGAGAAGCTACTTCCTTGAAATCAGTGCTACCTTGGTGAGTATAAATCTTGCAAGAAACCAAGGAGAAACCCCTATGAGATAGCTTGTTGGGTAGAAGGTCAGGTTCAAGTTTCACATAATGGCAGTGGCTGTGCTGTGACCCAGCAGGCTCTGTTTTATGTGCCAAGGCCTCCCAGCTGGCCTGGGCCAGTTCTGTCCTTCCACGCCTCATTGGGAGCCACCCACTTTGTCAATAAGCAGCTGGTATCCCTCTGCTTCTTAGTCATATGTCATTTATAGACTCTTGATCTGCCCCCAGTGTCACAGCCGACTGGCTGTTGTGGGTTCTGGAAGGATCAGAAAGGAGGTAACTGACAGAAAAACCATCCACCCTTGGCTGAGTTCTCTTTGAGTTTTTCTCTTGGATTTGGGAGCTAGGGGCGGAGGGTGCCTGCCTGTGTGCTGGGGCTTTGGGGAAAGGCATTCACCACCAGGCTGTAAAATGACCAACTGCTCAAAAGCCAGGTGGATAAATCTGCCAATTCAGTGAAATCGCATCCTGTTCCATTCGGAGGGGACAGCAAACACAGATGCACACAGCGGAGTAGTAATTACATCTCAGAAGATGCTAAATATTTCAATGCCTGTCTGGTGCCGATTCTTATTGGAGGGAATTTTATGGTGTTGGGTTTTACAGGCAGTAAACTTGTGTACTGAGTTATTTTTCTCTGCCTCTCAAAAAGCGCTGTGTCCATATTTCACCATGTATCAGGTAATATGGAAGTTGGCTTTATGTAAATCATTAGTTACCTTAAACCACAACCTCGGTTCTCACACTGGAAAGCTCTTTCCAGTTGTCTCTTTGCTGGGGAAAACTCTTCATCACTGGACGGTCGTTTATTTCTGTTTCTAGGAGCAACCACTTCAGATTCCTAGCGTGTGGGTGGTTTGCACGCATGAGTCATGCAGATGTCACGCTCCCCTGAAAGAACCAGCCAAATCCTTTTACCAGTCAGGGACTTTGTCCCAAGCGGCTGTGACCTGGGAGGTTAGTCCTGCTACTGCAGCCAGAGGCTGACTGATGGGGAGGCACAAAGGCCAGCCCCCTTCTCTGAAGGACGGTGTGACTGCCCTATGGAAATGCCCCAGGGGCCCTTGGGCCTCAGGCCACAGCTCGGCTTTACTCAAGACCCGTCCTTTCTTGGCCCATCCTTCCCTAATGCTCGTGGAGGTTTTTCCTGAAGGGCACTGCCTGGAGAAATCACATGCCCTGGAATCCCTGTCTTAGGCTCTGCTTCTAGAACCTGAACTAAGACAGGGACTAAGACTAAACAGAGAACTAAGTTCTCTGCTTCTAGAACCTGAACTAAGACAGCCGTGGCCCTGAAGAGGCTGGCATTCTAAGGTCTTTTACCTGCTGTCATAAATGGTTCCCCCAAGTCAGTCCAGTTTCTCTAGTTTCCCTCCGAACTTTGCCTGTGGCAGAGGCAGTTCACAGGGGCTCCACTCCAGCACAGAGCAGGGAGACAGCAGGTCCACACCACTGCCAGTTGAGTGCTCTGCCAGTTGATGGCAACTTCAGTGGGCTGAATTCTTCCTAGGATGCACCTATAAGGCAAAGTGTTTTGTCCTGAGGACCACAGGCTTACAGTGACGGGCAGAGAGAAACGCAGTCGCTTTGTGCAGACACCTAAAGGACCGCTGTGAACGGGCTCTCCCTTACCAGGCTACTGCTGTCATCTGAAGTTCCAGTTTTAGAGATTTAGTTCTTGGTGGCACACAGCTATAGTTCTAGATACTCGAGAGACTGAGGCAGGAAGATCCCTTGAGCCCAGGAGTTTGAGACCAGCCTGGGCAATACAGTGAGACCCCCTTCTCTATATTTTTGTTAAAAAGATATTTTGTTCTTTATGTTGAAACACAATCTGACTTATTACTCTGTCAGCCGTTGATAGTTTCTTGTGAATTAATTTGTCCCAGAGTCCAGTGTGACAGCTGGTCCAGGCAGCATTGGATGGGGGCAGGGAGGAAAGTTAGGGCCAGAATAGAAGTTTGGGTGAGGCACTCGTGTCAGGGACTGGGGCAATGTGAGAGGCCATAGCCAGTGTCTGCCCTTTTCCCAGCTTTGCTGATGACAGTGGTAGTGAAAAAAAGATCCATTTTTAAAGATCCTCCTTTTCTATTTCAGAGTCTCACACAGTGATGGACACATAGCAGGACTTTAAAATGCTTGCTCCGCAACACAAAGACAATGACTGAATGACCCCACTTCCATGAGGTATCTAGAGTAACCAAACTCATAGAAACAGAAGGTAGAAGGGCGGTTGCCAGGGTCCAGGGGGAGGAAAATGGAGAACTGTTGTTTAATGGTGATGGAAATATTTTGGAGATTGGTTGTATAACAGTGTGAATATACTTAACTGAACTGTGCACTTAAAGATGGTTGATGGCAGCCCTGAAACTGTGTATATCTATTATACATCATCTAAAATATTGTTTAAAAAATAGTCGATGGCAAATTTTATGTCACGTATGTTTTACCACAATTAAACATTTTTAAACAATGCAAGCTTTTCAAAGACAATTTGGGCTTTTCATAGAGCAGATCCTCAGGAACTATTTGTTGACTTACTTGCAGAGCACATTCCTTTGGCAAACTCCCAACCTAAGAGAAAAGCTCAAAAAGAAATAAGCAAAAAAAGCATAAAGGGCCTGAAGCCCTTCAGAAACCTGTTTCCAAATTCTTCCAGATTCCAACTTCTCCCCTACTGAGGCTGTTCCCAAACCTGTCTCCACACGCCTCCCACTCCAAACCTAACCCTGCCCCGGCCCTGCCACATTTCCAGACTCTCTGTTGCTTCCCTCCTTTCAGATTCTACTTTTATCTTCTCAGATGTTAACTCTTTCCCCATCCAATGCACAAAAAATTAGCCAGGCATGGTGGCATGTGCTTGTAGTCCCTGCTACCTGGGAGGCTGAGGTGGGAGGATTGCTTGACCCTGGGAGGTTGAGGCTGCAGTGAGCTGTGATTGTGATCATGTGACTGCACTCCAGCCTGGGTAACAGAGTGAGACACTGTCTCAAAAAAAAAAAAAAAAAAAAAGGGAGATTGACTTGTCATTATCAGTCCGTTTTCACGCTGCTGAAAAAGACATACCAAACTCTGGGTAATTTATAAAGAAAAACAGGTTTAATGGATTCACAGTTACAAGTGCCTGGGGTGGCCTCACAATCACGGTAGAAGGCAAAAGGCACATCTTAAAGGGTGGCAGGGAAGAGAGAGGATGAGAACCAAGCAAAAGGGGCTTCCCCTGATAAAACCATCAGATCTCATGAGACTTTTTCTCTACTAGGAGAACAGTATGGGGGAAACCTTCCCATGAGTCAGTTGTCTCCCACCGGGTCCCTCCCACAACGCGTGGGAATTATGGGAGCCACAGTTCAAGATGAGATTTGAGTGGGGACACAGCCAGACCATATCACTTGTAGAAACAATAATGCTTCAAAGCCTTCAACAGGGAATTGATAAATACATTAACCAACAAAGGAATACAACCAGCTATTAGACAAATGAGAGAGATCTCTGTGTCAGCAGGGAAAGATGCTAAGGAAGACAAGGCAGGACACAGAACAGTGATCCTCCCGCTTTGACTTCTCAAAGTTCTGGGATTGCAGGTGTGAACCACCATGCCTGGCCCTGTGGCAGACATCAAAAGGACTACTGTGAAGGAACTCTCCCTTACCAGACAACAGCTGTTATCTGAAATCCTACTTTTAGAGACAGTTCTCGATAGCACACACCTATAGTGCCATCTACGCAGGAGGCTGAGGCAGAGGATGGCTTGAACCCAGGAGTTTGAGACTGCAGTGAGCTGTGATAGTGCAACACGGGGCTGTGCTGCGAGTCCCACCTACCCCTCCCCAGAGTGTAGACCAGGAAGACTTCCAGAGCCTTGAGAGCTTTGACAATATGTTGATGCCACTGGGAGCCCCTGAGGGCTGGCCTGTCTCCTTGGACTGGGGTCTAAGTGCTGTGAAAAAATCTGAAGGCCAGCGATGACTAAGTGTTTGGAGGTGCTAGGGAGCTGCTGCACTGGGGGCTCCCTGCTCCCCACATCTGCCGGAGCAGGAAGACAGCTGTGGAGCTACTATGGTTTGAATATTTGTGTGCCTCCAAATTCATGTTGAAACTTCATCCCCAAAGCAACAGTATTGAGAGAGGTGATGCCCTTAGGAGGCGATTAGGCCATGAGGCTCCACCCCTCAAGGATGTGATTAGTGCCTTATAAAAGGGCTGGAGGGAACTAGTTAGGCCCCCCTTTTTGCCCTTCAGCCCTTCTGCCAAGGGACACAGCATTCGTCCCCTCCAAAGGACACAGAGACAAGGTGCCATTTTGGAAGCAGAGGACAGCCCCCACCATAAACCCACGAGGGCCTTGATCTTGGGTTTCCCAGCCTTCAAAATTGTAGGATATGAATTATCATTGCTGATCAATTATCCACTCTGTGGTATTGTGTTAACAGGAGGAATGGACTAGACAGAGACTGTGATGTGTCTGGTCCAGGAGGCCCCAGCTGCGGGACACTGGAGGGGTAACCTGGAGGTGTCTCAGGTTGACGAAGGGGTTATTGGGGATGGAGATATATTTGCCCCATCAAAGGAACTCCCCCTCACAGGGGAGAGGGGCCAGCGGGGGATTTCTGAAAGGGCTTGCAAGAGCATCAGCCTTAACAGTCTGCCAGGCACGGGAGCAGGGCCCAACTTGGGATGTCCCATTGCAGTAGGAACCGTCTTCTGCCTCCGCTTCTCTTTCTCTGATGCCCTTTGACCCTCCACCTGGCAAGCAGTCAGGAAGAGAGTAAAAACCCATCAGGCTTCCCACCCAAAAACAGTTCCACCCTGGGGAGGGAGGGAAGACATTCCTTTTACTGAATTGAGACTATGTTTGGGCCTTCAAGAGACTGCAGGAAGGCCTGAGTGATGCAGGTGCCAGCAAAGATGACCCTTACTATATAAAACTTGAAGACAACAAGAGAGGAAAAGTCAAATTGTGTTTTGATCACAATCCAAATGTCAAGCGAGTTTATGTGGGTTTTCATATAGATTAATTTCAGAATAATTATTCTAACTCTGCTCCACTGTGCTCTGTGTAAATTGCTTCAGGGAAACATGATCAGCTTGCTTAGTAGGCAGCGAATATCTTGGCAGTGACATAGGTTTTAGAATCAACCCCATCTCCCCAATTCAGGCAATTAAGTCTTATTGGTCTCCATTTAGATGAACAGGACAAGCTTTTGTAATTAAGATATTGTTGTCAACTTGGAATGTCTGCCCAGCTAAAAAACGCAATGTGTAATTTATTGTGACTGCTTTTCATTGAATGAGCTAGAAGAAAAGTAAATTAGCCATAAATTTAGAGAGATGGCACATAGTGATATTTTATGGAAACTGTCGCATTAGCAGTAAGAGAAAAGGCCAGCTCCCAAGAGAATGCACAGGAGAAAAATTTTACTCTGTGAAGCTCTACCAAATGCTATGAGTGTAAGAAACTCTGGGGTGAGCATCAGAGACATAAACACTGGTGTTTCCAGTTCTCATAAGGGAGAAAGAAATTGCTAAGCCAAGGCTCTGGAATCCTCAAGGTTGGCCAAGGCTACACCAGGCACTCAGCAGAGAACTGATGGAAATGCATTTGTGCTGTTGTGGCCCACGCACATGACTTGCCAGGTGGCCCAGAGGGAAAACTCCCTGGAGGTTTGCTGCTTTACCTTCAAGTCTGGGCTGATGCAATCCCTGGAGGTCTGAAGCCAGCTTGGGCTGCTATAACAAAATACCATAGACTGTCTAGCTTAAAAAACAGATATTTATTTCTTACCGTTCTGGAGGCTGGGAAGTCCAAAATCAAGGTATGGGCAGATTGTGTTTCTGGTGAGGGCTCTCTTCCTGGCCAGCAGACAGCCTCCTTCTCAACATATCCTCACATGGCAGAAAGAGGAAGCTCTGGTTTATCTTCCTCTTCTCATAAGGGCACTAATCCCTTGGGGCCTTGGGGCTTGCTTTCATGACCTCATCTAAACCTAATTACCTAATACCACATTGGGGCTTAGGGTTTCTGCCTATGAATTCCGGGGGACACAAACACATAGTAACTATCCAGGGTGCAAATAATAGGCCCTCTGTTGGATGCTTTCTGAACTTTACCTTCACCAACACCCACTTATGAATATAGATGATTAAGACTGGGCTGTTTCCTTTCCCATACTCCAGCCTTTCAGGAGACAAAATGGGGAAAAGAAGAAAAGCCTTAGTGGCACCATCAACAAGGGCCCTCAAATATTATTTGTTGGGGTACGTGAGTCTGTATTTGTGTCTTGTTCCGAAAAGGAATAAAGGTGGCTTGCAAAGATAAAAACACTAGTCTGGAAGACAGATGAGGTAACAGGACAGCAAGGGTAGGGACAGAAGATGGGGCCAAGTCTTAAAATAGAAGGCAAATTAAATCTATTTTGCTTAAGTAGGGAACAGTGCCACTTTTTCTGGGAAGCCAATGGCATTCTGTTCCATCTCTCTTTTAAATTAAAAGTTAAGTAGTGTTAGTCTCAATTTAGAGGCCTGCATCTCGATGAGTTTGTTTTGTTTTGGTTTTTTGTTTGGATCCCTGACCTAAAATCTCTATTTCAATAGGAAAAGGAGGCTCCATCACAGCCCGTTGACAGTTTTCTTGTCACTACCTTCCTCTCGGGATCTTTGGTGGGGAACTTGGCAACTCTTAAGGGTAGCAGAGGAAGTCAAAGGTTAGGAAAGAATTGGACAGTCTGTACAATACGAGAACTCCATATTTTAAAGAAGAAAATTCTAGAAAGAATGTTCATTTTACCTCTCGCATTTAGATGGCTCAGGATTTAATTATTTTCTGGAAGAGAGTAAGACTAGGTAGGCATCCTCCAGTAAAGCCAAAATCTCCATAAATAAAACAGAATTATGAGGATAACGGACTTGACTTTTTGCTTTGGCTGTGTGAGTACAGTGAAGCAGAGCAGTGTTTATGTCAATTTTGGGATATTTTTATTTGGCAGAACAAAGGCTATCTTTTATTTCAACCCCAAGACTTGTTTGCCAAGATTATCTTTATTTAAGTGCTCTGTGTTCATAAGCAACACTTCTGTAGTCTCATATAGAACGGTCACTTTCAGTCCTTGGAGTTAAAAACAAAACAAAGCAAAACAAAAATCAGGGAAGTTGAGAGGGAAGTTATGCAAGTATTATATAAATAGTGT